AAAGCTTATGAAGCATGACTCCGGCCTTGTAAATGTAATTAAGGTGTGGGTGTCTCTCTCTCGTCTTCGGCTCCCATTTAATTAACCCGCCACCCTAAACATTTTTAATAGAAAGATATAAATCTGTTTGAGGTTATTAAGGTGATATAATCTAGTCATATTATTGCATAGCCGATGGTTGAAAAAATTTAATTCCACCTACCTCCGCCAGATAAGTAACTAATTCATTGTGTCAGACAACGACCTACGGAATACCTGCCCTCGCCGTTGCTACATAATTATAACCGTACAAATAAAAGCAACCGCGGGTGCTACCGTAAAGAGTTGCTTAATAGAAGAGAGAGTTGCACCTGTTCTTCTATCACCGTCTTTGATTAGTTTATTTATCAACTTTCGGCATCTCGGTCGTGATTCTTAATTAGTGCGAATATGAAATTGCGCTTTTTCTACGCGCAGCGCAAGTTATGCCGGTTGCGGTAATGTGAAGAAAAAGTGGTCTTTCTGCAGTGTCGCAGGTATTTTTATGTCGCAAATATTCCAACCAGTAGGCGGATGGATAACGCATCATAACTCTAAAACCGACAGGCATCCGTCCGTCGATGCGAGGAAACGTTCAACTCACCATCATCGTTCATGTTATCAAGTAGAGTCGCATTCCACATTTCTACCTGTTCGTTTTTGCACCGGGCATTTTTTGTGGGCGTCTACTGTCTTAACAACGCGCGGTTCATTTTTGGAAAAGGCGACAAAGGCCGCTCTTCACCATCCACTTGTAACTGCCTAGAGACAAATTTATTGTCCTGTCTACGCGTAAGTTATGTGTTGGACACCGGAGATGGGAACCTCTCCCACGCACCATGAAAAAAAGAAAGAAAGAAAAAGAAACGTTACACAATATGATATCTTAGTCATTTCTCATTAGTAGCATTAACTCCCTCGCCGACAAATATTTCTTTGAGCATATTTGCATACCGGTCAGACGACCATTCCACTTGAACTTAAAGGTTTGTAAACAAGCAGAAAAAGAAAAACATTACGCATTTTTAAGTTTAACCCATAATTAATTGTGGTTAACTAATTAATTTCTATTGTACATGTAATTGTCGCCTTTTACTTTGCATAACTTTTCACTACGACTTGGCGCGTTGTCACGTCGCACGATAAATTAGAATGATTGAACGCGCCTTTATTGACATCTGCGATTTCCACTTTTTTCAGCACATGTGCGTACTGTAACAGTAATTACCTCTTTGTGATCGTAACGGCTTCCTCTTTTCTTCGAATGAATTTTCTGAACGTTTACGTAATTACAAGCAACCATCAGCAAAAAAAAGATGCGCAACATCGGCTTGATAGCCGTCCAATTTTGTATTTCCTTGCACTCGACATATTTTTACCTACCTACTACTAAAAATATTTCCGTAGGCATTTACAAATCCGCACGCACGATTTTCAAATGCGAGCCGCGGACCACCCGAAAGTTGGTCTGGTGTAGGCAATGAAGAGAGGCTTGGTAACCTCCCAAATTAGCAAATTTACAAAACGTCTTATTCGATTAGGTACTTAAAACAATGGCAAAAGAACATTCTGATTCGATCGCCGAAATATTCACCCCTGTCAGAGTAAATTCACTCCCGCAAATTTGCTCGAATAAAGAAACTCATCACAGAAAACTTACTCGTGAAAGCCTGCCTTGGAAATTTGCCCCGTTGCTGAAAACTCAACCCCAAGCCTAGTCATCTAATGTGGCATAAGAGTACGAGTACCCAGTTTGTTTATGCTCGTACACTAACCGGGCCACACAAAGGGTTCGAATAAACGCACAATTAATTGATTGACGATGACAAAATGTATTCCGAGAGCCATGAAAAGGAAAATTAAAACAAAATTTCTTAAAGAAAGACAAAATTGGTTTAAACAAATTACCCCGCACGCAGGTTTTCGAAAAATAAAATAAGAAAATCTTAAAATTACCTACGGTTTTTTTATTTTCATAATCCTAATAGTCTCGTAGTCTAAAAGTTTGCGATAAATAACACATACAAACGCTGACAGATTCTGAGCTTTACTTTTCTCTAACGCACAACTTGACTAAACAACATTAACTTGAGTAAACCGATGAATTGCTGGTTTTAAGACGGTACATACTTTGTAATTTTAATAGCCAGACGATCTCACGGTGCACTAACTGCGTCCCCACTCACGCCGAACTAACGCGCACATAGTAAACATCTGCATCCTCGTTATCTCTTCTACCAGCGATAAGAATACGTGTACTAAAAATCTCATACGAGATCATTATCTGATATCGCAAACGCCCAGGTTCTACGTTCTATAATTAAATACACAAATCTAAATAAACAATTTACAAAAGCGATAAATTTGAAACAAAAAAGCAATTGCAAACAATTCTAAAAGAAAAAATAAGACTCAGGCACTAATACAAGTAAAATAAACCAACTTTGTGCTTATTGTGCCTATTCGTAAATAATTACGCAGGTTACGTTTCATAAATGCGTGGCGTTCTTCTCTTTGGCAATTAAAGTGATTAACAATGGAGATTAATTGGAGATTGTTTAGCATTTCTTCAATTAGGTTAATGGTGCAATTAAATTACGTTGGGATTGGATTAACCTCTGAAGCCCAAAATGTAATCACTAAAATGTAATCACATCTTCCCTTAGTCATCACCAGTGGGGTCAATTATGTCCAGGATTATACGCAGGCATCGGTTGAACGAATACGAAATGAATTTCCATTTTTATTACAATAAGTCTTTACTCCACACACATGGATATTCCCGAAAATCCGCAATACTACAGCCTGACTGATCACAATGTTATGAGGGCGCAGGTTCGCTAGTGGATGCTGGTCACTAGAACTAGTGAATACGATATAAGTAATAATGCAACAATTATGATATTACCAAGCACTGTTTTAATATGCAAATACAAAATAAATTACTTCGTCACACTCTCGTTTTTCTTTATTCACCTCCTTTCCATAAGTTGCAGGTTTAAAGCATCCTAAAATATTGCCATGCATTGTGAAAATTTAAAATTCTAGAAACTGCCTAGGACTATTCCGTTAGTATTTATAAAGCGGGCTACCTAGGGGGTACTGTAACGGTAAAAACAGACGTTCTCTAGCAATCGACGTAAAAAATATGTAATATTGTAACGTAAATTCAATTCAACTAATTAATAACAGTTAATTCTTATGTATAACTCATCTGTACACAATGTACAATACGTAAATTTATCACATACGAGGGCGAACTTTAGTAATAATCACTTCAGCGTCGAAGTTGCAACTTAGCTTAAAAAAAACACACTTCGATTTGTTTATATAGCAAACGGAAAAGTTTGTAGAAAGATTACGGACTTTCTCCAGAATAGGTTTTTCCCTTCGATTTAAGTACTTTTGCACCCATCTTCCATATTCCGTATTCCCTTTCCCAATACACAGGTTGTAAGAATAGGAAAGAATTCAGTAGATTTTCTGTCATCGGTAATCTCATTAATCATCAAAATTTGTAGAAATGCTAATTCAAACTTATTAGCAGAATAGGTATTTAGAAATGTTTGGAGAGCTTCCATATTAGCATGTTTTAGAAACAACTCTTTTTACTTTCATGTGTTATGTAAATTATAAGAGATTATCTCAAACTGAACACATTTATTAAGAACAAATAAACGAAATTAAAAAAGTTTTTACAATGGTCCTAAAAAGACAAAAGCTTATTTCCTACCTAAACTCAAAGGCCAAATAATTCAATTTATCTTAATCTTGATATTGAATACTAAATTATTAAATTTTTAAAGTTTTACGCGATCTAGTTTGAATCACCGATAATTCGCACAAAACGGAAATAGTGAAGATAAAACCCTCTACCTGATTGCCTTGGGATGTCTCCCACGGTGACCCTAAACACCTCACCGGCAAAGGATTTCAGAAAATTAGCTGACGACGCCTGAAAGCTGGGCTAAGTATTAAAAAAACAAAACGCTAGCACAGAGGACAAAACGCAGCAGGTTTTTTAAACACAATCGCTGATAATCCATTAACGAATGGACAACTTCTGATTTATCGTGAAATTCTTGTCTTTTCCATTTAGGAAATTACGATGCACACCTCTTTACTAACTTTCTACTGGCACAAAGAACACGTAGGATAACTTATTTCGCATATTATGGGTCGGTACCTTCGCCGATTTTATAATCTCTACTTTTTAGGACTAGCCGCGCAAATTAATTTACGAAATCAAAGCCCGACGTTAACACTACTACCTACTCCGATTGACCGACTTATCTCACATTCCATAACAAACATAACTTTGCGTCCTTCGTATGATAAATTAGCACATTAACAATACAATATTAAGTTTTTTACATATAGATAAATTTTCTTCCAAACCAGGAGCAAGATGCAAAAAGTTTAAATTGAAAAAACGTAACCCGTTACAATCAAGGCCCAACTTTGTTTTGTTTTTCTTGGCGTATTAACGGGTTTCTCTCGAATAGATGAAACTAGCGACAAAAACCTTTAAACCGCCGTCATAAATTATGATATGTGATTAAATTGTCCACATTTATTTAAAAGTCTTACCTTAACCTGGGTGGATGGGTTACTAAAGCCATCCGATCAATCCATTTGGGCTTTGATCTTTACCTACTGATTACTCAAGCCGCAAGCTTTGATGAGCAATGCCCATTTGTCAATTCAGGTTGCGTATACCAAGTGAAAAATGGAACAACGCACCGATGACGTACGCTTAAAAATACGCCGCAATTTCGCCACCGCAGATTCTCATAGACTCAATAAAGCAAAACCAGTTCGTGAACGCCAATGGAAGTGATTAATTAACAAGCGATTTATGTATTTGGCAATGCACCTGTTCGTCCAAATCACTTTAATACGTCATTAGACACAATACATTTTACGACATCGATGCAGTAAGTAACCTTGAAGTGGCTCGTGGCCCACATTCAAAAATGTCTCTCCGGACGGCATTTTCTCGTAACGCAGACAAATAATGATACACGGTTGTGTGCGTAAATATAAATATCTGAATATCCCAGACGTAAAAATACTGTTATTTTGATTCATTCTCCTAAAATAACAGTTAAAGTACATGTAAATTCCAAACTACACCCACAAGATATACTCGCATGGCCTAATTGGCCACTCCCGTTTCCACACGTAGGGCATGCACACATACACCTGGTGCGTTGCATCTCCTAGGCTATGTACGCATCATAAAAACTCTTTGGTAGACATACGTATTTCATCTGTAATCTTGCCAAAATTATATGAAGATGATTAATGGTACAACAAACATTATACAAAGGGTAATTAATTACGGTGAATTCTGAAGTTGAAGTCTGCGCATAAAGTGAAATTAATAGGAAAGGGCTTATTTAGATTATATCAAAAAGCGACGTCAATATCATTTATTAAACGCGATGAGAAAACTGGCGTTCCGTTTATGTTTATGATAATAAGAGTATAACAATACAGCTGCGGCTGCCGTCTCTTCATTACGTTATAAATTATATTTTCAGATAAACGTACAATGATAACTGTGTGCCATCACGAAAGTGATTTGTTAATTTACATACCAAGACAAGTTTCTATTCCTGAAGTAATAACTCACACGGGAGAGGAGTGCGAAACTACAATGACCCTTTTGCTATACCACGTTTTCATTTCGCGACAATAAGACAATTAACGCGGAATTGTAATTTTGCCAAAAAGTTATGGCATTTGCTCGGTACCGATACAGAATTTACCGCATGCAGCAGCATTGTGTGGAAATAGCTCCCACGGAAAATCGGTTTTTAATCAGCCGGCTACCAAATTTGGCGTGATCGGAGATCACGAAATCGATCTTTACAAATCGCAATCGCGTCTCGTTTAATTAGCTACCTAAATCTTGGGACCGATACGTTACAGGTTCCACCTCCAATTTCGATTCAATTTAAATTTTCGGATCTACAGGTGAAATGGATGAGAAAACTTTTGTGGTTTATGTTTGCCAGTTCTCTTCTTTAGAAAACCTCTAAGGCGGCGTGTTCTTTTTATGGAGTGTCAAATGATAATTAACAGCAATTAAAAATATGTTTGCTATAGGTATTCCTTATATTCTGTAAAGCCATGTAACTATCTATACCTACAATGAAATGCAAATTTAAACCATACAAAGTCTAACAATCTGATTCAAATCCCATCCTATACCCGTCAAAGTGATGTAACAATGCATTCATTGTCTCATTGATAACTGCTAGTAGTGCTAGTGAATTCATTAGTTGCATCTGCATATTCTGTGGAGAGGTATGATACATTTTAAGCAAACAACACAATTCAGTTGCCTTGTATGATTTCCTTGCTTATTGCTTATGATAGAAACAGGAAATTAATTAGTGTCTGTAACTAAACAAACTTTGATAGGTAAAAGATGTTGTACAATTATCCACGAAGGTAAATTTTAAAAACTGGTCCCATTTTACACTTGTAAAATTTGCTGGGTACTAAAAATGGGGGTGTGCGGGGGACTACCGTACCGTAACGCCATTTTCCGCAGTTAGTAAGCCTATTTAAGCAGTCTCAATCAAAGGAAGCCAGGATGTGTCATGGAATTTTTTCTTTTGTTTTGTAGTAGTATGATCAAATTGAAGCTGCAGTTTGGCGCAAGATTAGCTCAAGTTCCCTGGAAGTGCTATAAAATGTTGATTATGTGGATTGGCCCATCATCGTAAGCTAGACTGCAAAACTGCAAATTTGGCGTTTGTTGGAGTAAACGTGAATTTGATTGTAATTATGGAACTATGGAATGTTTTATTGGTGGATGAAAGGGTTCGTTGACTAGGGGTCATATGTTAAGTAGGAGTGGTTTTGGAACTAATGGGGGGGGGGGGGGTTAGCGGGTAGCTAATTTCTAAAATAAAGGAGATATAATGAATGCAGGTTGAGCTAGTGCTCACGTCAAAATTGTTAATAGAGCATTTCGAGTGGCCATTTTTTCACATTTGTTCCCTCCTCCTGTCGAGAAAAATCTACACGATATTGGTACAAAGACCAATCTGGGTTTTATTAAGTGAACTCTGCATAAGCTGACAGAATTTCCGTGGGTGTTTCGCTCACTTATAGATAGCGCTATTGTACAGGGTGTCCCATTAACAATGGTCACAGGCCATATCTATGGAACCGTTAATTGCACAGCTTCCGGGAAAAAATTTCGTTAACAAAAGAGGCCAAGAATAATCGCTGGAAATTATTTTCAAGTTTCTACGTTTGTCGCTAGAGGGCATACGATTCATGGTTAAGTAGAAAAATGACTTTTTTCCTAAAATATACCCAACAAGCAAGCATAATAAATACGTGCATCGCAATCTTGTATTAATTTTGCATTATTTCGCTGCAGCACATATTGCTATAGCTCATAAAATATATGGGGTGGGGGAAGGGGAACATCTCTTTAAGGAATTGAATGTAACGTCGATTTAGGTTAACCGATTTTCACATAATAGGCCTTGTTGGAGAGAGCTGTCTTCGTTGAATCAGATTTTATATGAATAGCGTCTTTTTAGTAAATGTGATGAGTGGTAGAGGGCGCGATGTGACATTGACATATACTTTGCAGGTTGTTTATTTCTGGTTAAGTGTTAATTTTGAACTGCCATCATCTCATTCACTTTGATATAATTATCGGTTGCTATATGTTCATTTGTTTTAAATCCAACTTTGATGAATATACATATTGCAATTAAAATTTGTGAATGTTCGTATTTTCGCCATATCTCTGTTTAGAAAACAGGTATCAAAATCAAAAGTTTCATTGATATTCTCACTTTTTCATCTTATTTGATATCGTATAATAATTAAAATTAGGTATATCGCTCCATTTGAAATTTTAAAAAAAACCTGCAAAGTTTATGTTAATGTCACATCGCGCCCTCTGCCACTCATCACATTTAGTAAAAAGACTACTCATGTAAAACCTGATTCCACGAAGAGAGCTCCTTCTAACAAGCCCTATTATGTGAAAATCTGTTAACCTAACCTGAAGTTACATTCAATTCCTTACAGGGATGTTCCCCTTTCCCCACCCCCTATCTTTTATGAACTTTTATGAACAAAATGATGCAAAATTGATACAAGATTGCTACGCATGTATTTTTATGGTTGCTTGTTAGGTATATTTTAGGAAAAAAGTCATTTTTCTACTTAACCATGAATCGTACGCCCTCTAGCGGCGAAGCTAGAAACTTGAAAATAATTTCCAGCGATTTCTCTTGGCCTCTTTTGTTAACAAAACTTTTTTCACGAATCTGTGCAATTAACGGTTCCATAGATATGGCCTGTGACCATTTATAATAGGACACCCTGTACAATATGGTAATCACAAAGGCACCCCAATTTTTTCCCTATTGAAAATTTCTAGAAACTCTACTTCGCCACTGAAAGCAATGACTACTGAGCCCCACCACCACGACAAGGTGCATTCCGTGGTAGAGATGGTAATCACAAATACCCGCTGAAATGATTTTGACGTACAACTTCTTCTTACGCTTCGATAGAAGAAATTAACTCGGTTATTGAACTATGCGTCGTGCATTTTAGTAGGAGATTGTAACCAAAGACAACCGTCCGCCGCCGGTACGAATCTACTTTTGGTAAAATCGAGGGTATTCCAGTTGCCCAAATTATAACTGCTCGAAGGGTAGATATAGACGCCAAGTAAATAAGGTAAACCGCATTTAAAAACGGACTGACGTCCTTCTAGAAATTTGGACCAGTAGAATTTTGGAAGTTTAAACCTTAAATAGAAACATTCTTGAAGGACACAATCCATTTTCTTTGTAGTTGTGTAGAAAGGTGAACAGGATTCTTCCATTGTGATTCGTATTGCTATGTGCAATGGCAAACGGCCACCAAACTAAAATCTTTTCTAAGAAATGATAACCCTGGGTACCAACCCAAGAATTTAACGTGAAAACTCTCGAACTCAATTAAACAAAACAGCACATTTACAGGCGAAAGAAATTTATTAGACAAACTTATCAATAATCTGAAAGAAAGAATGTCGCTCAGGGCCAAAGTACGCATACCACGCAACAAACGATCGAATGAAACAAGAAATCTTAATTAACTAAACCAAGCCAATAATCCAAAATATTTGGCTGTAACTGCGATTTTCATTAAAAGACGCACAAATAGGAACACTTAATAACGATATTTCGGAACGTCACTTCTGTGGTTGCATTTAAATTTCGATTTAGACGACAGCCACATTTTACATTTGTAAAATTTGCTGGGTACTTGGGGGTGTGCGGGGGACTACCGTACCGTAACGCCATTTTCCGCCGTTAGTAAGCCTATTATTTAAGCAGTCTCAATCAAAGGAAGCCAGGATGTGTCATGGAATTTTTTCTTTTGTTTTGTAGTGGTATGATCAAATTGAAGCTCCAGTTTGGCGCAAGATTAGCTCAAGTTCCCAGGAAGTGCTATAAAATGTTGATTATGTGGATTGGCCCATCATCGTAAGCTAGACTGCAAAACTGCACATTTGGCGTTTGTTGGAGTAAACGTGAATTTGATCGTAAGTATGGAACTATGGTATGTTTTATTGGTGGATGAGAGGGTTGGTTGACTAGGGGTCATATGTTAAGTAGGAGTGGTTTTGGAACTAATGGGGGGAGGGGGGGGGAATTGAATGTAACGTCGATTTAGGGTAGGCCTTGTTGGAGAGAGCTGTCTTCGTTGAATCAGATTTTATATGAATAGCGTCTTTTTAGTAAATGTGATGAGTGGTAGAGGGCGCGATGTGACATTGACATATACTTTGCAGGTTGTTTATTTCTGGTTAAGTGTTAATTTTGAACTGCCATCATCTCATTCACTTTGATATAATTATCGGTTGCTATATGTTCATTTGTTTTAAATCCAACTTTGATGAATATACATATTGCAATTAAAATTTGTGAATGTTCGTATTTTCGCCATATCTCTGTTTAGAAAACAGGTATCAAAATCAAAAGTTTCATTGATATTCTCACTTTTTCATCTTATTTGATATCGTATAATAATTAAAATTAGGTATATCGCTCCATTTGAAATTTTAAAAAAAACCTGCAAAGTTTATGTTAATGTCACATCGCGCCCTCTGCCACTCATCACATTTAGTAAAAAGACTACTCATGTAAAACCTGATTCCACGAAGAGAGCTCCTTCTAACAAGCCCTATTATGTGAAAATCTGTTAACCTAACCTGAAGTTACATTCAATTCCTTACAGGGATGTTCCCCTTTCCCCACCCCCTATCTTTTATGAACTTTTATGAACAAAATGATGCAAAATTGATACAAGATTGCTACGCATGTATTTTTATGGTTGCTTGTTAGGTATATTTTAGGAAAAAAGTCATTTTTCTACTTAACCATGAATCGTACGCCCTCTAGCGGCGAAGCTAGAAACTTGAAAATAATTTCCAGCGATTTCTCTTGGCCTCTTTTGTTAACAAAACTTTTTTCACGAATCTGTGCAATTAACGGTTCCATAGATATGGCCTGTGACCATTTATAATAGGACACCCTGTACAATATGGTAATCACAAAGGCACCCCAATTTTTTCCCTATTGAAAATTTCTAGAAACTCTACTTCGCCACTGAAAGCAATGACTACTGAGCCCCACCACCACGACAAGG